TTAAAAAGATATTTGAAGATATTAAGTTGCGCCACGATTTTTACCGCGTTATATATTATTACCCCCAGAACACCTGATAGCATTCTGAAACAATCTTAACTTCTTGGGAAGCATATAATGCAAGCTGACATTTATGGACGTTAAAACACTAACATATTGACGAGATTTTTCGCTGTCGATGGCCGGGTGCCCTTTCCCACCTAGGTGAAGTAAGGAAAATTTGTTTGAGGTGCCTTTCCCAAGGACAAAACGTCGGGCCTGGGGCTCGAACCCCGGATCTGCAACATCACCATTACGAGTCCGGTAGCCTAACCACTCGACTACCGACGCCACATAATAATATTATTGCATTTATACCGCGCATATCCGCGCTCTGCAGCATGCTCTATGCGCTTTACAATCATTATTACCTCAGCAGACCCTAGAACACTCAGAAACGTTCTCGGTTTCCCGAGAAGCATACAGTGCAGGCTTCAGATTTCTCGGGCTCAAACATTTCCAAACTGACTCGACAGCTAAAGGTCACAGTCAGGGCTGTAAAACAGATGGTGCTAGAGGAGACACACGAAGAACGAGGCGAGACATTGGCAGTTGAACCAATGACCTTCGGTGCGTGACGTCACACTTAGCTGCTGCAGGGTCAGAGCAAAATATTTGCCTGTGTTACGATTATATTCGCAAGATCAGAGGTTTGAGAAAATCGGTATACTTTATACTATCTTTCTTTATGAGACTGTTGGCGGTTGGTGGGTGACACGGTGTTTTTTTGTTCCTTCTTCCCTATGTTCTGTCAAACACCTATCGTCCCTCTCTCTCCTCTTTCCTTCGTATGTTACTGTCTAGAAATACCTCTAATCTTCGGCACTAATAAAACTCTTACAGAAAGAGGGAGGATTTGATGACAAAAGTAACATGGCGCTGATTTCGTACTATGTTACAATCAATTTATCAAAACCGGCGTCTATGGTGTAGAGGTTTGGCGATTCGCTGTCGCACACATGAGTCCCAAGTTCGATTCTCGAGTGGGTCGAATTTTCATTGAGGATCTCGGCCTTTCCGTTGGGATGTTGTATCCCTCTCATCCCGGGTTGGCTGTGACAGTCAAGGTCGGATGCCCACTTCCTAAATGATGTAAATTGTGTCAATGGTGGCGTAAAAACACCTACTTTAAAAAAAAAGAAAAAAATATTAATCAATCCATCGTCATTTATGTAGAATTAAAATCCTGGGCTGTTGTCTACTTTAAATCCCCATTTTTTTAACGTTGTCGGAGCTCTTAAGTAAGAAAACTGAAAACGAAGATGGAATGATAAATTAATCATTGTCTCGCCTTGTCAATGTTGTGCCCTGCATGTTGCAAAGAGATTTAGCAGAAAATGTCTCTGTAAACATGCCATGTAGACTAAAATTTCGCAATTCGAGAGCCCGCACTTGAACAACAGAGAACACTTACCCGCCATCTCTTGGGTGTCTATTTGCAGAGGACGATGAAACAATACCGAGACCAGGAAGAAGGAAAAACATCCTTCACTGAAGGCCAAAAAGTTGCATAAGTTATGTGAAGAGTTTTGTTGTTGTTGTTTTTGAAGTTGTTGTCGCTTGTGTTCTCATTTTTTTTCTCTGCCTTTTCCTCTCCTTCTAGTCCTCCTCACCCCCCCCCCCTCGGCACCCCCTAAACACACACATAATTTTTATTTTCTTCTAATCTCTACTCCTGCACCTTGTTCCTAGTAAATACATAAATAAATAAATGAATAAATATTTAGTCGTGATCGCTAGACTGCGGGTTCGGGAGTTCCAGCCTCAGGCCCGACGGTGTGTCCTTGGGAAAGGCATTTTACACGAATCTCCCTATCTTAACCCAGGCGTGAACGGGTACCCGACCAAAGGTAGCGAAAGGTCTTGTCAGCATGTCAGTGTTATTGCGCCTGTATGGCTGCTTGCACTGGATGCTTCCCAGGAAGTTGAGATTGTTTCAAAATGATATCAGTATTACGTCTGCTGGGGTAATCATAATAAAATAGATTTCAAGCGCATAGAGCTTGCTGTTGAGCGAGATTTTGCGCTCTATAAATGCTATCAATTCTATCATTTTCAAGTTTGGTCATTATCCTTAGCAATACGATAAATAGATGTGAGGCATCGTGGTAAAATCAGGTGCTCGTCAAAATAATAAAAATCAAAGAAACCGCCATTTTTCTAAACGTTGTGCAATTCCTTTCGATTCTTTTTGTTAACAACTTTTGTGTCCATTTAAAGAGTCAAGCCTGTGTGGATTTCGCCGGAAAACGTGGATTAACGGGATAAAAAAATGTATATTTTTAGTTTCCAAGGACTCTCGAGTGATGGAAGTCAGCAAACTTCGGTGTCCATTTTCTCGCTAACTTTACCTTAGAAACCAGGTGACACCCACCTCCTTCAATCGCAGATACCTTGAATTCTATTCCAAACAGATGGGTATTTTTTCACCAAACACAAGACAAATGAACAAGCTTTAAAATTATACGGAAAACTCCACATGCCCAAAGACCGACGAGTGCCTGATTCCAACGTGTTGTGACAAAAATTTTCCTTGGAAATTTGGTCGATGTCCTTGTCACAATGAAGTTTACCATAATAATATGTAACTTTTCTACGTCAAACCCGCTTCATTGAGTCGAACGATGCTTTAAAAACATTCTTCCACATCTGAGACATTAACTAGAAAAGAGGAAGCCCATTAAAACTCTCTTCAGTGGTGAGACTACCGGACTCGTATTTGTTAGACTGCGGGCGGGGGGAGGGGGGAGGGCGGGGGTGTCTGGTTCTCAGCCCTGTTCGACGTTGTGTCCTTAGGAAAGGCACTTAGCACACATTTTGAAGACATAAGTGCTCGAAACAAAATAATTATGCAGCTCAGAGGGCTCTGGCCAAAGCGGGCACGGTTACTGCGTTTGCTCGCTGGTTCCATCGAATGAAAAAGCTATCTGAGATCAAAGATTGTTGTGGTAAACAGTGAACGTGATCCTATAGGTATGTACTAAAGTTAGTATCTGTAAAATAAAAATGGTTGATTTTACAGAACAGGGAAGCTTGCTTTTGGGACAGACCTTGCACATGTGATGGTAAGTTTTACAGAAGTAAAATGAAGAATTGAAAAGGCAAAAGAATGTTTCTATGAAATAAGCCCATTCCTGAAAAAATACAATGACCACCAAAATGAAATGCTATGTATGGGCAACCCTCCAACACAGTTGTGAATGCTGGACGATCACTAAATACGGTGAAAGTTAAATAAAAGCAACAGAAATATGGTTTCTTGGGAAACTGCTGAGAATAATAATTATCTTGGAAGGAAGAGAAATCAATTGAGGTAGTACCTGAAGATGCCCACTTAGGCCGCTCGCTGACTAGTAACAAATAAACGCCAAATGCAGTTTCTGGGACACTAGGCTGAACATAATGATTTTGAACATCTATTTCTCACTAGCAAAACTGAAGACAAACAATGCAGGGGTAGATCCAGAGCACCCTACTTGGAGAACCTAAACAGATGAATAACGGGGAAAGCTCAGCATCATGTAGCTTTTTTTAAGCATCCGAGCAAAGAAATGAAGGGAGAAGCATGATCGCCGATGTCTCCCAGAGTCTAGGCTCTTGCGGTCTGGAGGTAGGCTTCGGTGCTCGCCTCTCCTTCAATAGGTTCCGTTTTCGAAACCTGAAAAAGACGGAACATTTTCTTCTTTAAAACTTTCTACTTTCGCCTCCTTTCTTGCTCGATAATCATAACATTCTTTCGTCTCCACTTTCTGTCCCCCCACTCCCATAATTTGCCCCCTCCTCTGTGCTCCTGGCTCTTTCTGCAGCCTTTCTACTGACACTCCTTGGGTCCTTGTTATTGCTGTCTTTCAGACACACCCCTGATCTTAGGGTAGGTAAGATCTAACACCTTGCCTTCTTGAATAGGGGAGAAAAAATCTCGTAGGTCCCGTGTGCAAGTTGCTCTCGTCAAAAATCCTTTGGAGGTTCTAAAATCGATAAGAGAAGGCTTCGACTACCACCCGGACAAAATTCTGAATCAATTCCTACCACACTGGGATTCTTAATGTGTCACACGCACTCATATGGCCGTATGCAGTTGCGGGCGCCGTAGAACATTTAACAAAGCAAACAAGTCTTGGCACTTCATTATAATAATATACTGAGTTGCAAAAGTTCTGTCACACTCATTATATTACGATAATTTTCGGTACAGCATAAGAATTGCAGCAAAAATTAAAAGTACGACTTGTGTGAGACTTGTGAGACTCCTTTTGCAAGAGCAGACGAAAGAAATCATAAACCGGAAGTACTGTGTGGACAAAGTGTTGGTATTGATTTCTCTAGGTCTACGTTGAAATCAACGCTTCCAACACACAACATTTGCTTTGAATCACGTAGACAATGTGTAAACACACTTTACACACTATGAAATTCAGTACTTTTTAACGGTTGGAAACTTTTTAAACTGTTTTTCAAAATAAAAAACTGATAAATTCAGAAAATAAAGGGTCTGTGAGTATGATAAATTCTTTAATTGCTCTTTCTGCAGTCGCAAGACACGTAAATGTGTGTAGAAGAACCATCTAACGCTTGAACAAACGTTTTAACATCACTAGAACTGTCCAAGACGAGCCTAAGCGAGTCCAACCAAGGGCGACAACTCGTAGTCAGAATTGGGTTATTGTCAACACCCAGGTACGAAACCCGTTCCAACTAAGCGCATGGACTGTCAGGTACTTCGGATTATCTTAAAAACACCATTATTAGACCTCTATAAGATCGTGGATTACGTGATTATCGCCCTTTGCGTGGAGCCATTCTAACCCTGTTTCATTGAACAAATCGCC